GATGATGAAATTTTACAATAATTGTCAAAGACCAACTATTTTACTTCTCTCCTCTTTTTGTCAGTAAAAATTGTAATACCAATTATTGATTTCCTTTCTTAAGCATTGACTGATGCATGTACCCAATTTATTTACCCATGGACTTTAAATACTGGTATAAAGAATTAAAGAAAATAAATATGTAAATATTCATGTATCATTCTACGTGGAAAATTAAAATATATAATTTAATATTAAATGTTTTATTAAAAAATGAAAATAAAAATTTTAATATAAAATACAACCCGGAGAATTAAAATAACTACATATAAAGCATCTTCTCAAGCCACGGTCCGGAGTCCGCATATAGCTCTCTCCTACCCGTGGCTGCTTAATCACAAAAAGTGTCGCAATCTTGAATATTTATGCATCTCCATTGTGACGTCATATTCAGTCAATGACAAGTTTTGTTTCCATCGCGATTGAAATCAACAATTTACATACGTAGTGATTTCGTACACTGTGATTGGGTATTGAAAGGTCACTTCAAAGTTCATTTTCCGACTATGCTTTACTCGCATTGGTCAATAATTTAATGAGCTACAAAATATTCTCTTCTCATGCAACCATGGCCAGAATGGAAGAGGATCGTACATGATGGCCGTGGTTTGCGACGATGCATATAAAGTAATATTTTAATTATCATAATAGATTTACACTGTAACTTTACAGGTTTTGCTTGTATGTACAATGTTTCGATTTATATTGAATTAAATCAACACGTTTGGGGTTCGGTCTCTGGGTCCGCTTCAGGTTCGCTCGAGGTCCGCTACAGGTTTGCTTTGGGTGCCCTTCGGGTTCGCTCGGGGTCAGCCCTAGCGGACCCTGAGCGAAACTGAAGTGGACCCAGAGAGCGAACCTGAGGTCTGCTCCAGGTTCGCTTTCTGTTAGGTTGTGTCCGGTCGGTACTGTAAGTAATACAGCAAAACTCGGTTGTAACGAAGTCGCTGGGATCTATGAAATTACTTTGCTACATCCGTAATTCGTTATAACCGTATAAGAAAATCAATAAATTTCAATAGCTGGGGATTCAAGATGACTTTATATCCGTAAATTTGAAATATCCGTGTTCGTACTATATGAGTTTTACTGTATCTTAATTAAAATATAAAGTGAAATCTACTCCCTTCTAGATTTTAACCTGATTATATTTTACCGGGGTATTCACAGTCATTCTTCTTTGTGTGTATAGTAACACAAATAAGATAATTAATTGTTACATTACTTGTAGAAAGGAGTTTTCCACTTAAGTATAGTAGCTTGGTCCCTTTTTTCGCCCTTATTTTACCAAATATACTTGAGGATATGATATTTTTTTAATTTTCATGGTGTATAACATAGTATTTCTAATTGAAATGTTGTAGAATCATTATTAATGACTTTGAGTTTTAAGAAATATAAGCCAATTTTCAACACCTACCGCACATACAAATTCCGGAACATTTTCTTTCGAACAGAGTACGGTTTCTCTATTACATACAAATGGGCGGAGACATTTAAATTAGGTACTATATAAGGGATGGCATGGTGAGCTGTAGCGTGAAATAAGAAATAAGAAACAATACTTGTATACGATGGTTCAAAATAATCTTCAAAAAGCTTGAATTTTTTTTGTGTATTTTTCGTATTCTTCTTAACTTCGTGTGAGTTAGGGGTCTTCTTTTAGTTTTTGAGGTATTTTTGGTCAGAGTTTTGAAAATCCCCTAATCACGTTAATTTTGTTTTATCTATCATTCTTGAATAAAATGTCGAAATATTTTAACCACTATATTAACTTTCTTTAATATGATGAAAAAGTGCAAGCGATCAAACATGTTTGTTCATTCGTATCGTAACAGCGCAAAAAAGTTGTTTTGTTTTTTTGTTTTTTTTTGGGGGGGGGGGGGGGGGGAACTCAAGATTTTTCTCACTCACTACCCCCTGATACTACCTGCTTGACATGTATTTATTATTTATTTCTTAAATTCACTCTAACTTTTGCAATGAATATTCCGATTTACTTATCGATTATTGATTAATACATGACGTTCACAAATACATGTAATATACATATATATAAACACTTCAAAACAGTTGTTGGAATAATAGAAACATAATTATTATTTATGCCTGCTATGAGAAATATCAGCCTCATTGCGCAGTAGAAAATGAAAAAAAATACAGGTATGCAGTTTTGTCGATTTTGTCATTTAATTGAATTACATAAAGTAAAATGTATAAAAAATTATTAAGGGGGATTTATTATACTTCACAAGGATTTTCTCTTATAATAAATATCACAAGATTGGTAAATGAAATTCAAACTCAGTAGTCATTTTCTTCATTGCATTAATGCATTCGAAGTTTTTCCGAGTTTATATGCACCCCAAAACGTGGCAAGAGTGTAAGATTGATTTGTTTGAAAATTGAAATGGTCAGTATAATAGTGCATTAATTAATTTTGTTTAGACTGAATAAATATGAAGAAATTGTTACATCTTTGGCATTTTTGGCTTGTTTATTTCTTTTTTTGCAAGAAATTGATTAAAAGTGTAGTTATGTAATACGTAAATCTATCTACTCGTATTTTGATTCGTGTGCTATTTGCAATGCCCAGGATAATTGCGATTACATTCATGAGAATTAAGATATGTCCCGGAAAATCATCAGTTAACATAAGTGGTAGTCTATAGAGAACCTTGTTTTGAATTTTAAAAACTGAAATCTGGTGACTGCACATTTCCAATACGAGCTACACGTGTCGCTTCTTACAGAAAACACGCTTTCCAGAGGTATTCACCTGTGACGGCATGGAATCATGTGGCATATCTATTCTTAGCAGGTCAACAAGAGGTTAATCCTATGTAAATGTACTCACCAAACAGATTCAAAATCATGAAACTTTTCAGTAGAAAATATAGAGCGCAAGGTTGTTCAACAAAGATATTTTCAAGTAAGTTGTAGAAATATAATATACACATCATATTTTGATCTCGACTTTGAACAAATCTGCGCTCGATGTTTACGAAAGCTGTGAAGTGGGTACCTGTCACACATTTCTTTTGATATTCATGAAAATCAAAGGACCCCACCTTCAAAACACAGCTTGGCGTGTTGTCTATTGCAATTTTTTTATATTTTTAAACGTTGGCGCATATACTAAAGACATAAGAGAATAATAAAATTTACTTTTTAAGTGTCTTAATGAAAGTTTAAAATTTGACGAGTAACCAGGGACCACAGATAATGCCTTATTGAGACTTGTTCTTTATATTTATATAAGAAGCACAAAAATGCACACGCAAAAAACAAGACATTATATTTTCTTCTTCATAAAAATCGTTAAAGAGAGTTTAAAATCTTGAATGTAGTCCATTTACTATTCATTTGATCCCATCATTTCATGTAGAGTGAGGACATTCTCCTTCTTTTAGTCAACACTTTTGTGTAAGGAACCCTTTTGTGTACAAAACAATACCAATGCTAAAGCAGCCTATATGCTATGTGGCAACGCACTTTGAAAAAATTACGCACTTTGAAAAAATTTTTCAAAGTGCGTTAAAATTGGGACAATATCAACGCACTTTGAAAAAATTTTTCAAAGTGCGTTAAATTTGGAACCAACTCAAAGCACTTTGAAAAAATTTTTCAAAGTGCATTAAGATTCTACATCAATATATTTTACCATGGAGACACTTAACGCACTTTGAAAAAAAATCATATTTTAGTCACGGAAAGATTTTATTTGTTATTTTACTTACTATTTATCTTTCAAAAAACTAAGCCTAACCCTAACCTCAAAAATGAATTGATTTACTCCTGTCGAAAAGAGAAGAAGACGGGTATAAGATCCCTCAGTCCAAATCTTTATCTTTCCAATACATAGGTGTCGGTAACAAACGGGGGAGGGGAGCAATAAACCTAAAAAGGGTACGCTGCATTTTCAATGCTTATACGATGTATATATCTTTCCAAAATAAGTTGGGGGCTTAGCCCCCCATTTCCTCCCCTGGCCCTTCGCCAAGTCTCGATGTCTATGCTATACTCAAAGCATTCATATACTTATGTATTTACCTAACTGGTATGACGTTGAAAACTTTCAATAATAAATGAGTTAATTAAAACAGATGAAAACAAGAAATTTTTAAGTACAGTAAAACGTATGAGAGAGAAAGAATTTTCATAGTTTTGAACAATCAAATTGGCCCCTTTTTATTATGATAAATGCTAAGTTGCTTGAAGCTGTCCTCTGTTAGTGCCCCCCATACACCTTTACATCTACTTATCAAAGACTAGAATTAAAAAAAAGAAGAAACGAATTAATGAACTTAAACAATTGTCACTCTTTTTTTTCAAGACCCTTTAATTTTCCCTTTTATTTTATCAAAACCTTAAATATTTAAAACGTCAATATCTCAGCTGCAGGTCCTACTGTGACTTTATCATGAAAAAATTATCAAACCAGAATCTGTTTTTTATCATACCTATTATTTGAAGAAACATTGATCAATCTTTACATTTTTTTCAAAGTGCGTTAATATGGTCGATATTAACGCACTTTGAAAAAAAATTATTTTTTTTAAAAGTGCATTAGCTTGGTCCCAAAATTTTTTTCAAAGTGCGTTGTAACAATGCTATTAACGTTTGAAAAAAAATTATTTTTTTTAAAAGTGCATTAGCTTTTAGAAAATTTTTTTCAAAGTGTCATTTTTCAAAGTGCGTTGTAACAATGCTATTAACGTTATCTCATAAATCAGCTTTTAGTTGGAAAACACACTGTCAACATCTTACAAATCAATTATTAATGATTAAACTTTCTAATGATTTAATTTAAGGTATGCATATTTAAATTATAATCTTTTTTTTATAATTTCATGTACCTATAAATCTTTATCTATGAAATGTTTTTTTACCATATGTGCAACTTGAAAAATTAGTTAAAAGGCCTATAAACTGCTATAAAAATTACATAAGAATCATACCTATAGGTTTGGTGTCAAACCTCAGTTTTGTTAAACGTTCATAGCGCTTTACCTGAAATATCAAAAAAATAATGTAGCTATATTCAAACTGTATAGAAGAGTACTCATAATCATACCAACAGTTTGCATGGTTGATGTCCATGAGTAAATGAGACTTTTATAAAATACAATACATTTTCAATGTAAATCGATACTAAAAGTGGTAATTTACACTGGTTGTCAAGTACGCATTTGTGACTGTCAAACATTATGCCTTGGTGAAAAATACGCGGTCGCACCAGTTACCGGGAAAAAAATTATGTGGTCATGGTTACTAACATTGAGTTGTTCCCCTTTGAAAAGGTCGAGTAGTTTACACACAAGAATAAGAAAAAAATAAATTACATATAAAGCCATAATAAAAATATTCCTAGATCTCATCCCCGCCCGCCCCGATTTTATACCCCCGCCTCGATTTTTTTTACTTCTCTTTTTCTTTGTCTTAATTCTGATAGAGATCGGTATTCATCTACCATTCTACTTTCGTTTTAAATCCCGCGAAAGTCCACATGATTTTGACAGCTGAAAAGATGGTAATTGCTGTAATACATGCATATATATTTTAAACAAGGGTCACTGGTTGAAAAAGATTGGTGATGTGAAGTAAGAGATAATTGAACCTTTAATATGACTTTTATTCGGGTATTGTAGATAAAATTACACCAATTGACCAGGTCAATAAAAAATCTGTAAAATTTAAAAAATAACTAGAACTGTCCAAACGGGACAAAATACCCCCCGCTGGGTTTTTCAGAAGTAAGTTTTTCCATAATAAAGATATGTATCACACATGAGTTATGAATTTTTTCTTCCAGTGATGTTGAAGTTCCCCAAATGACCTTGGGTCAGGGTCATGACACACCCTTGGGTCATGGGCAATCTTTGTGTTAAATGACAACCTACCAAGTTTATCCATAAGAAAGATATCGACAGGACAAGAATTATGATTTTTTTCTTCCAGTGACCTTGACCTTCCCCAAATGACCTTGGGTCAAGGTCATGAAACACCCTTGGGTCATGGGCTATCTTTGTGTGAAATGAGAACCTACCAAGTTTATCCATCAGAAAGATATGAACCGGACACAAATTATGAAATTTTTCTTCCAGTGACCTTAAACCTCCTCAAATGACCTTGGGTCAAGGTCATGACACACCCTTGGGTCATGGGCTATCTTTGTGTGAAATGAGAACCTACCAAGTTAATCCATAAGAAAGATATGGACCGAACATGAATTATGAAATTTTTCTTCCAGTGAACTTGAAATTCCCCAAATGACCTTGGGTCAAGGTCATGACACACCCTTGGGTCATGGGCAATCTTTCTGTGAAATGAGAACCTACCAAATTTCTTCATAAGAAAGATATGGACCAGACACGAATTGTGAAATTTTTCTTCCAGTGACCTTGAACTTCCCCAAATTACCTTGGGGCAAGGTCATGACACACCCTTGGGTCATAGGCAATCTTTGTGTGAAATGAGAACCTACCAAGTTTATTCATAAGAAAGATATGGACCGGACACGAATTATGACATTTTTCTTCCAGTGACCTTGAACTTCCCCAAATGACCTTGGGTCAAGGTCAACACACACCCTTGGGTCATAGGCAATCTTTGTGTGAAATGAGAACCTACCAAGTTTATTCATAAGAAAGATATGGACCAGACACGAATTATGAAATTTTTCTTCCAGTGACCTTAAAGTTCCCCAAATGACCTTGGGTCAAGGTCATGACACACCCCTAGGTCATGGGCAATCTTTGTGTGGAGTAGTAGATTCTAATGTCCCTCTGTAAGAAAGATATGGACCGGACACGATTGCACAGACAGACGGACAGCTGGGCAGACGGACAAGGTGATTCATATATACCCCCCCAAACTTCGTTTGCGGGGGGTATAAAAAATTTAAAATAAAAGCCGCCCGCCCACCTCAATTTTTAAAAAAATTCGGATGAGAATCTAGCAATTTATTTATTATGGCCTAATTCCAAACAAAACTGAAATGAATTTATACTGGTCATTGATAGGTGCATGTTCCTTTGATTGTTAATTATAAATAAATACAAGTAACAGCTTTTTAAAAAGCTTGCCTGACTAAATCAATCAATATCTGCATGAGGAGTGATAAACCTTTTGAGCTATACTTTTGTGGGTTAAAAATATGTTCTTACTTTATATTCTGAAAACCTTGTGTAAATGAAATCCTTGATTTTATTTAACTTACAGAGGAATCATCTTTACACTGCATACTAAAGACTTGTTATTCTGGGGGGGGGGGTCTGCAAGTGGAGTGATCTGCCCTTGGATCTAAATTGAAAGCTACATTACACCTATTATATGGGTCTGCAAGTGGATCTGCCCTTGGATCTAAATTGTAAGCTACATTACACCTGTTATATAATATCTATAAAATCTGTTATAAGAAATCATGCATTGTAAACATTTTAAACAATGGAGATATAATTAGAAATACACATTTTGCCAGAGTGTATTTATTCCACTGAAATAAACAGTACCGGTAGTTATGTGTGTTCATTAATGTTTTTTTCTTAAAGAGGAGGGGGGGGGGGGGTTGTGCCACTATCATATATTGAGAATGAAATAACAAAATTCAATATTTAGGTCTTTGTAGAAAGAACAAATCCAATAATTTGTACTGGTTTATTTTCTTTTGTGTGCATCTGAAACGTTGATACAAATGTTCCATGACTTGTTGAACTGCGTTGTTTATTTTTGGACTAATCCATTTATGTAGTAAACAAACCATGGGATCGGGAAACAAATTAGAAAAAAAAATCATCTCTTTAGTGTTGCATGTCCATATACTAAAATATATATGGTATGTTACTTAAAAGAATGAGATAAAATTTGTAGATAGAATTTCTGAAGTATAAGAAGGAGGATAAAATGACAAACTTTATTTTATTCCATAGACGTTAGCACACCCATTCACACAACAGAACAATCCAAGGAATAGCTTACTGTGACATTTGGCGCAAAAAGAGCGATTCACCCCTTTCGTAGAATATAAATGGATTGATCCAGTAGTATAGAAATGCAGAAAAAGGATACACGGACATGTTGAAAGGGTGAATAACATGCCAATGGAATAATTGTTCCATGCAAAAAGATTAAAGGAAGTAAACACTACAGTATTTTGCATCAGTAATATCATTATTTTTTTCTGAAAACTGTTTCTTTTAAAATGCAAGTAAAAAATTCCAATGTAAATCAGCTTGCACAAAATCTAGCTCTCTGGGTATGATCTATTAGTTTCGGACTTTTCAAATATCAATCCTATACAGCCTGACGCCATGAAGTCAGGCCATGACGGTGATCTGAACCTGTCAGTCAAAAGCTCTGAGGTTTGAACAACTGATGTATGCTGTACTGCAATTATTTACACAAGTTCAAACTTAAAAGATCTGTGTCTGCATGAAGAGTGTTGACAATTAATTTAATAGGTATGTTTGTAGTGGTTGTGTGTTTATTTAACATTTTGGAATAATTTATTTGAAATTAAGAGTGACGTACACGTACATACAATCATGATAATGAGCATGTTTTGAATCTTCAATTGCGTGACTTTGCTGTAAAATATTTAATACGAAGATGCATCACTGTTTGAGATACTGTATATACTCACGTGCATTTAATACCATGATTAATATACGACTGGTTCGACCGGCCTAACAATATATTAAGTAAAAATAATTGTTTATCATTATTCAAGAACTTTAAAATTTTTGTGACTATACGCACAGGGGTATTTTATGCAATTCTAAGCATAGCGCTTAAGTAGTGTAAATTTACCCCACATGTAAATAACCACTTTTACAGTATCCTAGTAAGCCTGAATTTGAGACACAAGGGTCATAAATTTCACAATTTTCACTTAGAATTCATAACAATATTACTGTATATGAACAATTTGGTTGCTTAATTTGCAATGTATTGTTGAATATTTCAATTTTGATGATTTTGGCCACCACTGTACTAAGTATGTATACCTCTAATGTATCGCCTGTAGTACCGACAATCTTCTGTACGAGACTAATGGCTGCCTCCTCTCCACAGAGATGGATTTCTCTGGCACACAACCCCAGAAGGACCCGAGTCCACGCCCCTCCTCTCTCCTGGTCTCTCAACATTTGAATCTCATCAATTACGGCCACATCATCTATAATAGAATAAAGAACACCTTCAAGTGTGTATACAGTCATGTTCTGTAGCTCTGTAACACGGCAACCATCCCAATACATACTTCATTTCCAATGACCATAAAATCCATGTACAGTCACTGTTTTTTAAATTACTTAATCAATTTAACAGTGCATTGAATTATATGATTATGTGTGACTGTACTTAAACAAGAGGCCAGTGGGCCTTATAGGTCACCTGAGCATCATGCAACAACTTTCCAACAATTGAATTACGTTCATGTTTTAGACCAGAGGCCATGAATTTCTCAATTTTGAAAGAGGAACCATTGCTCATCATAGCTATAAACTAAGAATGCTTAGTTTGGTTACTAAATACCCATAGGCAGAGTAGGGGAACAAAAAAATGCCTTTCAACTAATCAGTAATATTCAGCAACAATCAGTAGTGCCCCACCCTACAGAAACCCCGTAATCAAACCAAAATGTTTGATTAATATCAAGGAGCAGATTTCAAGGCATTCATTCATTTTCAGTATATAATTACATGTACAGCCCCCCCCCCCTATGGTAAATGTACCCCTGATCCACGGGCCTTGAAAATTAAAATTCTGGAAGAATGGACCTTCCTCATAATAACTATGTAGTTGTATGTAGTTAGTTTGTTTAATACAATGGAGCAAAGAAAAAGATTTTCAAAGAATTAATGCTTTTTCACTATAATATCAAAAGAGCCCCACTCTAACACCACATCCCCTGACCTTGGGGCCATGAAATTCAAAGAAGAAAATATGGTTTTAGCTTTATTGTGCCCTAAAAATTAGATGTTTTCAAAACGTTTTGGCTTAAATATTAGTTGAGTTTATGACTGTGAAAGATCAGGAAAGAATATGACATGAAGGAGTACCATTCTGAGAATATGATGTCATTAATTTGATGCATTTCTCTATTTCAAACAGAACAAGCTAATTCAGAGAATTCGTGTCCCCCGCTTAGGGAAAAAGTCGGCTCCCCCTGACTGAATTTGTAGAATTATTAAATGTATACATGTATACTGAAGCAAATAAAATACATGTATGTCAATATGCATATAAAGATTTGATTGCTTATTCTTTATTATGTGTATAGAAGATTTTTTATATGGAATGTTTATCACACTGTAATGATGATTTTATAACCTCATAATTTTTCATTTCACATGCTGAATACTATCATTTAGTAAAAAAAAAAAAAGTATTTAAAAAAAAAAAAAAAAAAAAAGAAAGGATCGACCGAGATTCGATCCCGGGACCTCTCACATTTGAAGCGAGAGACATAACCACAAGACCACGGAATCGCTTTACGCGCCGTGAAGTATATAGAGAATTGAAGTCAAATACATGTATATATTCATGTTTTCATGTTCGGTATTCTCAAAATTTTACACAATCCATGGTGTTTGATTTATTTAGCCTTTATTAAACAGTTCTAATAGATGTAGTAAGAACATAATGTCCGCCGAGAACCTGTTTTATACGCAATAACTCTCCTCATGCCCCTGCACTAAAAATAGCGACATGTAATACTATAAATACTAATAAAACAAACGGGGCGGGGCACTTTGAGAGGGGCGAGAGACGTCCTAGGAGTTTTGGTATAAAATTACATTGCATAAGCTCAAAATCTTCTTGAAATATCGCCCGGAAATGATAGTTTTACATACAGACAGAATGTATAAATTTACGACCTTGAACTTTGACCTTTTGACCTCAAAATCAATAGGGGTCTTTTTAGGCCACAGGGAGTTGTTATGTAAAATTTCATTGCGATAGCTCAAATGGTTCTAGAGATATCGTGTGGAAACGAAAGTGTTTTAACAGACAGAATTTGCTTATTTATGACCTTGACCTTTGACCTTTTGACCTCAAAATCAATAGGGGTCTTCTTTCGTCCATAGGGAGTTGCTATGCTAAATTTCATTGCAAAAGCTCAAAGGGTTCTCGAGATATCGTGTGGAAACGAAAGCGTTACAGACAGACAGAAAGACGGACGGACGGACGGACGGACAAACCCAAATTAATATCCCCCACTTTTCAAGCGGGGGACAAAAAGCCTCAAAATGACCCATTTCACGGGGAATTTCCCTTAGAAAATAGTGTCCACAGCCATTGCCCACTTTAATATTTGGATATGTTGTGCAAAATACAATGAAAAATCACTTATCTCAAAATTTTTGTGGGTGATGCCTGTGGACTATATTTTCTGAAACAAAATAACTGTGAAATAATTGTGTTTTGAGACCCCCCCCCACCTACATATGTGTATAGTTTGTAATCATTATTTGTACATGATTTCTCTTACAGCCATTATATTTGAACTGTAAACATTACCAAGTGTACCATAAAATGATGTTTGGTATTTCCTATTACAGTAAAACACGTTTAGTATGAACACGGATATAGCGAATTCACGAATATAGCGAAGTGTTTCTGGGTCCCCTGCAAAATTCTTAACAAATCCTTTTAAAAATTTACGGTTATAACAAAGTCTGATATAACGAATTTACGAATATAGCGAACTGATTTTGGGTCCTGTTGAAGTTAAATATAATGAAATTTACATCTTTTATAACGAACTTTCAAAGATCTCAAAATTTGATAAATTTAACTGACTTATTTTTGTTCATGGAATTGTATATATATAATTCAATTCACAATAAAACCTTATCTATGTATGTTTTGTAATATTTGCTTCCCTGACATATTTGGTAGTAATACTTGAAGGAAAACATGCATATTGCGAATTCGCTTTATATGGTTTTACGAATTTGTTATACGGTTATACCGAATTACGGATATAACGAATTAAATTCACAGGTCCCTAGGACTTCGCTATAACCGAGTTTTACTGTATTTCATGTTTGGTAAATCCTACACTTTCATGTTTGGTAAATGAACAAGTTTACCACGGTGTGAAATATGGACTGTGAATTCATGGATACGTAAAAATATGGACTCTTACAATTAAACAAGAGGCCCATGGGCCACATCGCTCACCTGAGTAACTTGGGTGATGCAGATCTTTACCAGATTCCCCCTCTTGCTATACCTATCATGCCCAACAACCCCTTTCCCTTTTCTATTTTAAAACTTTAGAATCTACACTACCCAAGGATGCTTCCACATAAGTTTCAGCTTTCCTGGCCCAGTGGTTCTTGAGAAGAAGATTTTTAAAGATTTGTTCTATATTTTTCTATGTAAAAATTGGAATTGCCTTTTGTGGCCCCGCCCTACCCCCAGGGGTCATGATTTTAACAATTTAATATCTACACTACCAAAGGATGCTTCCACATAAGTTTCAGCTTTCCTGGCCCAGTGGTTCTTGAGAAGAAGATTTTTAAAGATTTGTTCTATCTATTTCTATGTAAAACTTGGATTCCCTATTGTGGCCCCGCCCTACCCCTGGGGGTCATGATTTTAACAATTTAATATCTACACTACCCAAGGTGCTTCCACATAAGTTTCAGTTTTCCTGGCCAAGTGGTTCTTGAGAAGAAGATTTTTAAAGATTTGTTCTATATTTTTCTATGTAAAACTTGGATTCCCTATTGTGGCCCCGCCTTACCCCCAGGGGTCATGATTTTAATAATTTAATATCTACACTACCCAAGGATGCTTCCACATAAGTTTCAGCTTTCCTGGCCCAGTGGTTCTTGAGAAGAAGATTTTTAAAGATTTGTTCTATATATTTCTATGTAAAACTTGGATATCCCTATTGTGGCCCCGCCCTACCCCCGGAGGTCATGATTTTAACAATTTAATACCTACACTACCCAAGGATGCTTCCACATAAGTTTCAGCTTTCCTGGCCCAGTGGTTCTTGAGAAGAAGATTTTTAAAGATTTGTTCTATATATTTCTATGTAAAACTTGGATTCCCTATTGTGGCCCCGCCCTACCCCCGGGGGTCATGATTTTAACAATTTAATACCTACACTACCCAAGGATGCTTCCACATAAGTTTCAGCTTTCCTGGCCCAGTGGTTCTTGAGAAGAAGATTTTTAAAGATTTGTTCTATATATTTCTATGTAAAACTTGGATTCTCTATTGTGGCCCCACCCGACCCCCAGGGGTCATGATTTTAACAATTTAATATCTACACTACCCAAGGATGCTTCCACATAAGTTTCAGCTTTCCTGGCCCAATGGTTCTTGAGAAGAAGATTTTTTAGAGACCCCACCCTATTTTTGTCTTTTCTTGATTATCTCCCTTTGTAAGGGGACTTGGCCCTTCATTTTAAAAATTTAAACTCCCCTTCACCCAAGAATGCTTTGTACCAAGTTTAGTTAAAATTGGCCCATTGGTTCTTTAGAAGAAGTCGAAAATGTGAAAAGTTTACAGACGGACGGACAGACGGACGGACGACGGACAAAATGTGATCAGAAAAGCTCACTTGAGCCTTCGGCTCAGGTGAGCTAACAAGTATTTAATATGAATGTTTCATACATTTAACTCACTGTACATCATTTAAATTGATCGTAAATACCGTTTTTCACGAGTGATAAAGTTATAATTGTTATAATTGTTTTGAAGTGTATTTTATAGACACATAGGCAAAGAAACCGGGGGGGAGGGGGAGGGGGGGGTGTTGACCTATTGGAGTTTTGGCTCAACAGAACATTTCCCTTGCAGAAATTATTCTTGACTTGAAAATGCTTCTCAGGAATTCCTAAGATGTCCTAAGAATTCCTAAGATTTCCTCACAATCTGATTTGAGGAAATCCTAGGAGTAACAATCCTGGGATTTGATTTCAGGACATCCTAGGATCTCCCAGGACTTCTTTGTTAAACATTTCAAATCCAAATCTTGCCAGGACATTTCATTGTAAAGCCAGGAATTAATCATTTTTATGACAATCCCATTTCCTAAGACTTTTGACTTAATGTTGGGACTTTTGTAAAAAAGACAAATTAAACTTTACAAACTTGTACATGTTAATAAATGTTAAAACAGAATGACAGGAAATTTTATTACTTTTAAAGTTTTAATGTATAATATCAAGAAAATCATAAAATGAATAATTTTCAATCATTACATATTATACTAGATACATAGAAAGACACTGACCCTAGAACTATTTTTTAAATTAAATACTTTCTGAAATATTGATGCTGTCAGGGAGGAGTTATACATGTAATATGTTTTAAAGAAAAAATTGTTTACAGACAAACAATATTTCACCATTTTCAAATCACACATTTCTGAGTTGATTTTTATCCATTAGAATTAAATTCTACACTTAATCTTTAGATTGCTTCTTTCATGGGAAACTGAGTGCAAGCATAGTTTTTTTTTCCAAAGCACTGGTCTTACAAACTTGGCCATCTTGCAATACAACATCAAGTATTAATACAACTTTTTCTTTCTATGTAGAAGTAATATTTTCCAGAATGTTTCACTGAAAATAAAGTGTTCCTCTTAAAGTTGGTTTTCAAATGGCTTTGAATTCAGAAGACCATACATGCAGAAGGATGACGTGGTAAATTTTTACTCAAGCCCTAGAGGGGCTTGAGTTATCTAAAACGATGCTAGGTCATCGATTTACTCAATTTAAAAACACAAAACTATATTATTTTTGTAGATAAAAAGATTTCTAGAAACAAAAATGAAGTTTATCTTGAAAACATCTGTATATTCAAAGATATTAAGTGTTAATTGTCGGATTCTATTGTATGGCGAATGAACAATGAGTGAAGCTCCGCAGCCGCAACAGTTTCTATACAGAGATTTCGCGCTTTCTTTTGCGTAGGAATCTCAGGTAACTTTTTACAGTCGCCGACAAAGCATCTTTGGACGAGTCCACTGTAGACTCTGAAAGGTGACGCAGGTTACCCCATCGTTAACAAATTCTACAATGCATGGTCAGAACATATGTGGCTGTACCCCCCAACTGAAATTGCTTTTCAGGGGCCTGCAAATGATGTGTACTTTGGGTGACAGTAATATGATAGCACAAAATCAATGTTAAATTCTCGTATTATCTTAAGCTTTGGTTACGGAACCTATATTATAATATAATAACTTCTTTTGGATTCGTACGGAATATGTATTGGACATGTCGCTCAGCTAGACAAACCCCCTCGTCTCAAGACACGGTCCGGAGTAAGAGAGTATCGTACATTTTGGCCGTGGTTTACAACGATAAATGAACCCGTAGTCAGAATTTACTGGAGCCCGGAGCCTCCCCCCTTTCCACTTTGAAAAACTTTTCTACAGGCTTGTAGCAAGCTATTTAGATTGATGTATATATTGATTGTGATGTACGTCATTAAGCAAAAAATACAAAAAACGTATATAGTTTGAAGTATACTAAATGTCTACATTAAAAAAAATTCATTTAATTTAAAAACGGCAAGGTTACTATGCTCTATAAAATATTCCTGAAAGTGTGTCACGGAAATTCATCTTAAAAAGTAGTACGATCAATTATATTTCTTCTAATTAAATTCAATATATGAATTTTGTTTCATGTACATTAGTTTATTCAACAGAAGATTTAACTCGATAGCCGTCATCTTATACCATTTTAGAATATTAATGACACTTCCTAATTGACTTTCTACAGCTTGAGTATTTCTGACGTTTTGTCAGTATATACTTGTCTTCATCTGTCAATTTAATTTTTCACTTCGCATTTCATTTCGACAAAATAAAAACATATTTTCCTCAGAGCACGTTATAAGAAATGGCTCTCCTATACCGTCATCACCTGCATACAGGTTATATATCACTCAGGTGGTTACCACTAAACTATCAGCTTCAAAGTCACATGCCTGGCTAGAAGTATCTTTTTTTTGGTATCTTCTTCTTTATCAGTGTCATTTGGTTCATCAAACTGTCTTTGACTTTACTATCTTTAACATCTTCATCCAAATCTGTATGATTTTTATGTGTATTCACCCATAACTGCCAGAGATACTATACAAAAGAAAAGTAAATATTGAGTCATTGAAAGAAGAGTACACTACACAAATTTAAATACTACATAAACAGCATACTCAAGAAGCATGACTTGGTCTGTGACATCATACTTTCGTCACTTTCTGACTTAAAAAGCTTGGTATTTCAAATTTTGTTGGGTTAGAATCGTGTTGTATTGAGTTTGAGAATATAATAGATAGTTTTCGATAGGCCTGAATTTAAAGAAAGTTACCTCCCGTTGGCCGCCATATTGGAGGTCGACTCAGTGATTTTCCCTCTTTGTCTTACCAAGTTTAAGAAACTATAGCAGAAATATTTGGTGGAAAATCTTTATCAAATAATTTTTTTTAAATAAAGGAGGCTTCCAAAAATTTATATACTTCAGAAAAATAATGATTTCTAATTCAGAATAGCAAATATAAAAATTTTAAATTGGTTGAACAATGAAGGAATATGAGCGTTTGGACCTCCAGTATGGCGACCAACGGGAAGTAACTCTTGGTCAATCGAAAACTATCTATTCCTCATGTTTTTGATATTGAGTATTGCTTTTATTTAACGAGAAAAACCTATAATACGCAGTAAAACTAATAGAGTTTCCTGAAAATTTTATCCACATAAACAGAGATCAAAAAAAAACTTTTCAAAGGTTTTGACCAAATTCGAGTCGTAACATAACTATTAAATACGATAAAAATGCGCTTTCCCTATAGGTTTTATCGCCAGATATACTAATTTTCATTCATCACTTAGCAATAAGATACTTACAGACATCGTGACAGGCTTGTAGATGCGAAGAAAAGTCGTTGTTTACAGCACAATGTGACAACTTCACGATCCGCCATATTTGTGTTTGGACGGTTTCCATGCAAATTGTTCTTGACCTAAATGTATCATCGTGGTTCTTCGAAAATATTTTCTTCTGTAACACTTTCTGTTGGTAGAATTGGTTGATCAAGGATATTTATATTTTATTTTTCTAATATTCGGGTCGTTTGTCACTGATAATAACTTACGTGTTTTTTTTAACAAGATTCTCGGGAAAATGTCGGGATATTTCTTAAAGGTGTACAAAATACCCCTACACCGTGTCTGCAGCATTCTCTCGCGCGAACTTCCGAGAGGTGGTACAATAAAGTGATCTTCGATCAATTAGTTCCCGGTGTATAAAATATATTTTACTGTCAACTCAGCTTTGAATATTAATTTGTCAGAAAATATTCGCCAAAATATATTTTCTTTTTGTAAAAAAAAAAAAAACGTAAATTCACATTAATCACAAATTATTTGCAAGAATAAACAAACCGCATTTTCTTGGTGTGACACGAAATAACTTTACACCGTCCTGTATCATCCTCTCGCGAGACTTCATCGAGAAGCGCAAAATAGGAGTTCAAGGAGCGGCAATGTTTAGAGAGACTGGTGAATTGTAATGAAATGCACAACTTACGCCCAAGATTGACTCTAATTCTTCACATAAACCATGTTCTCTTTCCCAAAAATCTTGGTTTCGCTAGGAGTGCAGTAAAGGGAATGTTGGAAGAAGTGTAGATATCATGGCCACAGGCCAGTGGGTAAGTGGCGAGTGGTTCCTTGTAATATGTATTTAAACACACAAATATTGTTTAATAATTTAGTGCATGTGATGTGTTGTATAATATTTCAATATTGAAACAAGAAACGATTTGAATATGTGTAAAAGGTTTTTGGGCATACTGTGATTCAGTCTAGTCCATGAAGACCAAACGTACATACCCAGTGAAATATTTCCAGGTTTTACATGTTAAAATTTAGTAAGCAGAAGACTTATAAACAAATATTTATTATCAGTTACTGTTAAATTTGCATTGAATGTTTTGACATGGTGTAAATTTTGGAATTATACTCTTAAATAAAGCCTTCATTGCATTGTTATCTTCTAGTAGCTAGAACCTTGAAGCCTGGCAAGGATTATGAGACTGGAAAGTCCCATTGAGACTAACAAATGAAGAGAAAGTTTCAGGTATCTTGTAATCTTTTTTAAAATTTTCTTTTGTAAACTTGAAAGAATAGACGGATTTCACATTCTTAAGAGTTATCTCCGGTTGTCGGCGTAACACTCATTTTTCCCACTTTGTCCTTTGTAAGTTACCTGGAAATATTTTTATTTTCAGACATTTATATCTTACAATATCGGTCTGTAACTGTATTGCCAGAATATGGGGCAACTTTAAAAACGTAATGAACAAATTCATACATACTATATTTCTGAGATACTGACCCATAAAATTGGTAAGGTAATAGAGGGGAAACAGTGTCTTACGCTGGTTTACCCTGGATTGACCCCGCAAAGTAGTGCTGTGCGATATTACCGGTTAACCGGTGTATCCCGATTTTTTTCTTCACAATACGTATCGCGGTAGTTCTTTGTGAATACCGGTTCGGGTTCGATATGCTATAAATTGTTATAAATAGAGTTATTTGCCCTTTACAAGGTAAAATATGGCGGCAAGCGACGTGAAGTGTGATCAGAAACGAGAGACATCTCTCTGTCAGAAACGAAAAGACAACTGTTACATGAAACCTCTTCATGTTAAAGCCGAATCTGCATATTACAACTTGATTCGTCAAGTTGTGCCATAAAAAACTTAGCTTGCCACTTGCGTCGACACAACGCGACCAGGCAGTTGCAATATCAACTCGAGAATACCGGTACATGTAATTTGAGTTTGTGTTTTCATTTGACATTGATGAAAAGCAAAATTTATTAAAAAAAATTATATTGTGATATATTGCAATACAAAATATAATATTGCAATATATCGCGATACAATTTTTCAGTCGCGATACCCAGCTCTACCGCAAAGGGGAATAACTTTTGTAAATGTGAAAGTCGTCTATGAAAGTTTATGGTACATTTCAATCTCTGTAACTTATATTAAGTTGGGAAAACTGACGCAGATGTCGTAGAACTCATAAGATAATATTCGCAAAATTTAGAACAGAAAAATGAAAAAATCAGCAAGAAATATCAATGACAGCCATCATTAAAATTAATTTCAGCTAGATTACAAAAGAACAAATATATACACGTCTTATAAAAAATTTTATTGATAACTTTGCAGACTGTTTAACTCGGACTAAGGGAAAAGAAGCAAATTACAACAAGGAGAATATTGCCGAGAAAGGTAAGCTGTTCAAATAATGTTAATGTATGATTTTAATGTTCTGTTCACACGGAGAGTTTAATTCACAGTATTTTAATGCCAAGTAAATTGACTTCATACGACAGCTGTGGTAAAGTGGTTAACTATTGCGAATTAAAATTTTATTTTCTACAAAAAGGCTATTCAGTAAGATTAATATGACATCATTTGTAAATCACGTCATGTATGCAATTGACTAACATACCTTATTCCTTATGCAAGTGTGAATAAATGTTCATCTTACTTGGGCAAACACATATTTTTATGGACTGGTAGAATCTGAAAGCTTGGTACACGTAGCATCTTTGGCTACTAAATTTTACAAGTTTGATTTTCATCCCTTAGAAATAATTACATATTTAGACTAAACAATGGAATACATTAAGTATAATTTTATTTTAGCAAAGACAAGTGAAATGTCGAGTGAAGAAAAAGCAAACAAGGCTTCACGATCTGCAACTAGGCCACTGGCGATGAAGAAGAAAAATGTACAGCTAAAGAAGATACATCAGTGATCAACTAAAGCTGGGCGACTTATATTGGATTGACGAGGTGCAGGGGGGGGGTATTAATTTGGGTCTGTTTATCTTTCTGTTTGTCAATCTGTCTGTCTGTAACACTTCGTTCTCTTAACATTTCCAAAAAGCCATCAGATATTGCAATGACATTTTATATTATAACTCATTTTGACGATCCCACTGCAGAACATGATTAATCATCAATACAAATTTAATATTGTTTATAAATTAAATATTACCCTTATATATTTTGAAGTGAAATGGTCAGAGGTCAAGGCCTCTTTCGGGGGCACATATTGTTTTTGCCTGTCTGTTTATCTGTCTATTGCCAATTTACCTTTTGCCATAACTTTTGAATCATGAGAGATATAGATACTTCATATTGGGTATGCTTACTCCACTTTCAAATGAGACCAAGACCAATGACCTTGACTGTCATCGTTATGCTAAAATATAGCCTTATTGAATCTTTTACTTTTGAACCATAAGAGGTAGAGATTTTATAATGAGTATCTATACTCCACTAATTAAGTTCTTTCAAATTACATCAAGGTTAATGACCTTGTGACTTTGACCTATATGTTTTTGGTTTTTTTTCAAACTTTGTTGCCACCAGGTGCATACTGTTTTTGTTTTTTTTATGGGGGGGGGGGGGGGGGTGTTATGAATTAGTTTTGTTTGGTATCTGAATCTTTTATTGTACAGAATTCTTCAGAAGTGACGAACCCTCACCCCTACTCTCTACACTAGGTTGTTGATTTAAATATTTTTTTTATTGTTATTAATATTTGTCATTGTACATGTATATCATAAATATTCTATGAGAGCTGCTTCAGAATATATCAACATAGTTTGAAAATAAGACAATCTGTTTCCCCCCTTCAGGGTTGCAAATAACATTTAAACCTTAGGGGCCATGTGGGCCCCCAACTTCACAAATTTTACTAGCCCACATTGATTTTATGGGGCCCACAATTTTTTTTTCACTTTGTAAAAAATCTTTTCATATGAAAACATAAGAGAAAAATACTTTATGGCCATATTATTTCAATATTTCTTTTCAAATTTTTCCTGCAGACTTTTACACAACTAAATGTATGAAATTCCATGTTATCATTCAATTCAATTTTGTTTCTTTTGGTTTAAGTTGTTTCAGGGCATGTATTTTGAATTAGGCTTAAAAAATATTTGATTCTTGTAACATTCCCAAATAACCAAGGGTCGGTATGTCGTTTTTTTTCATAAATAAAGGAGCCAAACATACCTGGACTGAATTAACCAGGTGTTATATTTACAGTGGACACCCAACATGGCTGCCATTAGCGGCAGAAAAAGAATGGGGGGATTCTTGTTACAATAATGATTACTCTTTAAATTTAAGGTAAACGTTGACTAGATTGACATATTTTGTATCTCAAATAAAGCTACAATTAATATTTGAAAAATGGAATCAGCTGAATGATCAAACACAGAAAAATCCGCCTGTGATATGAAAACGAAAGTACATTGAATAGTTAAACCAAACTACGATCTGATTCTGCAAAAAGTCCGATAAAATTCTTACTCGCCATGTGGGCGATAATATTCTCAAGAGCTGGTCGCCCACAGGAAAATTTACTCGCATTTGCGAGTGGGCGAGTGGTTATTTGCAACCCTGCCCTTGTGTGTAAATCATGATGTTGAATCATAACTGCACTATAATTTTACAGCAGTAAAATTGTAAAGAATTTGTTGTATCAGATACCATCAGCATCTTTTAAAAATTATTTTATGTATTATTTTTTCTGTGGGGCCATGAATTTTTATAATGCATACATTCATTAAATTTTTTTCAGAGATCTTATAATTCTGCTTTGTTGCTATGTATGATTTTTTTTTAAAAAAAAAAGATGTCCTAGGAAGCTAGGATATCCTAGGAAATCCTAGGAATTCCTGATTTCCTAGGACATTTTAAGTGTTGGGATTTTCCTGGGATATCCTGGGAAGTCTTGGTGTTTTGATTCCTGGGATTTTTCTAGAACCCCTGAATTGGGACTGTCCAAGGAAATCCCAGGAATTCCTGTTCCAAAAACATCTCAGGAAATCTTAGGAATAATCCTAGGATTTTTTCAAGATATCCGAGGAATAAATCTTAAGATTGTCTTAGGATTTCTTAGGACATCTCAGGAATATTCTGCAAGGGTTATGACCTTTACTGGAGAGGGGTAAATTCTATATAATATGGAGAAGATGCCGATTGAGGCATTGTATTACAGTGGACCTTCAGATATCCGGACACCAGATATCCGGATGCTTCTCTATATGCTGTCTATTGACCTATTGGAGTTTTGGCTCAACAGAACATTTATGACCTTTACTGGAGAGGGGGAAACTCTATATAATATGGAGAAGATGCCGATTGAGGCATTGTATTACAGTGGACCTTCAGATATCCGGACACCACATATCCGGATGCTTCAGTGTCCGGACGACTTTTCATCGGCACAGAATTTTTAAAACCTTATTTATCTTGTTTGACTGGTAATTCAGATATCCGGACGCTTCACATATCTGGACAAATTAACTGGGAACCAAAGCGTCCAGATAAATGAGGCTCCACTGTACTGTAATTTACGGAATATAGGTCGATACTTTTTTCTCAGAACTGTTGGGGTCGCCCAATATACAGAATTTGACCTTATATTTGAGGCTCAAGTTTACGAAAAAATGCCCCCTAATCAGTAAAATTTACACCAATTTCAAAGCAAATTCGTAACTTTTTTTGATTATTTTTCGCAAAAAAATTAATGCCCCAGTAAACAATAAAATATTTATACTATAGCTTTCTTACATAATAAATTCCATTAATTATCCGTTGATGACAAAGGAAAACATTGCTTCATGTATTAAATAACTCATCAGTTATTGGCCATTAACATCATGCGGTATCCATCTTGTGAAGTTAGGAAGTTGCGATCATGTATTAAAAGTAAAACTGCAACCGTATCAAAATTTAAAATACGGAAAATTTTCACATCACAACTGTAGTGTTTTTACCATTTATTAGTAGCAATAAATTGAAATAGTATATTAAATATTTTTTATTGTCTTATGTTTATTTAAATGTAAAATAATTTTAACTAATATAATAAGGTTTATTAAAAGCTTCGTACACAAGAAGTACATTGAATTACCGGTATACAAAGATTGGCTTCTAACAGAATTTTAATTGTCTGACAGATAAAGGGATTTACACTGTGTACGCAAAGGTGTTAAAACCTGTGTTAGTTTAAATGCCTGTGGGGCATGATTAAGAAACCCACGTACCGTTATAGGGTATTAGTGTTACACATCATTGAACAAACAAAGCCGTGAAATTCATGTTGATAGTCAAATTGTGAATGTACCCTCAATTAAATTTGTAAATTAAACTTACAGAGTGTTAATATGATTTCAATTCTTTACACTATTTTTGATATATACATTCAATGGTCATTTACGTGTTTTAGCAAATCCCCGGAGAAGAAAAATAACAAGAGGCCCAAGGGCCTTATAGGTCACCTGAGTATTGTGCAACAACTTTCAAACAATTAGATTTGGTTCATGTTTTAAACCAGAGGCCATGGAATTTGCAATTCACAATTTTGAAAGAGGTACCATTGCTTACAATAATTATAGACTTAGCATGCTTACTCTATTTACTTAATACCCAGAGGTAGATCAGAGTAATATTAAGAGAAAATGCACTTCCACTTTATAATCAGTTGTGCACCTCATCCCAAAGGAACCACTAATCCTGGGGCCACATATTTCAAAATTTTGCAAATTTTATCATAAAATGGTTGATTAACACCAAAGAGCAAATTTCAAAGCATTAATTTATGTTCAGACTTAGTACCCCCCTCACCCCGACCCAGGGAAGGGGCGGGGGGCATAAAAAATAACCATTTTGCTAGGTGCACCTTTCTTCATCAGGAATATATATTTTTGGATCATTGGCATAAAACACAGGAGCAAACAAAAGATTTTCAAAGAATAAATGCATTTTCACTATATAACCAATAGAGCCCCACCCTAACACCAGAACCCCTGACCCTGGGTCATAAAATTCACAATTTTGGATGAGGCACTCTTGATCAACATAACTATTTACTTACATAGTTTATTTAATACCCAGAAGCAGAGAAGAAGATTTTCAAAGAATAAATGCATTTTCACTATATGATCAAATGAGCCCCGCCCTAACACCAGAACCCCTGACCCTGGGGTCATAAAATTCACAATTTTGGATGAGGCACTCTTGATCAACATAACTATTTACTTACATAGTTTATTTAATACCCAGGAGCAGAGAAGAAGATTTTCAAAGAATTAATGCATTTTCACTATATAATCAATAGGGCCCCGCCCTAACACCAGAACCCCTGACCCTGGGGCCATAAAATTCACAATTTTGGAAGAGGCACTCTTGCTCATCATAACTATGTGCTTGGTTAGTTTATTTAATACCCAGGAGCAGAGAGGAAGATTTTCAAAGAAATCATGCATTTTCACTATATAATCTATATAGCCCCGCCCTAGCACTAGAACCCCTGACCCTGGGGCCATGAATTTCACAATTTAAGTAGAGGACTCAATGCTCATTACATTCATGCCAACAGTTTGCCTGCTTGATGTCCA